CTCTTTCCCGGGAACCGAACCTGGAAGCCCCGGCGGCAGCGGAGCTGTGGCTGTCGCTGCCCGTCAGGCTGCTGTCTCGTGTCGTTTCCCAGCGCTGCGCAGGACTTCTCCTGACGGCGCTGCAGGTCCGGGGGGTCGGCTGCCAGGCACAGGTGAGGACACTGCGGGAGGCCGGCCGGGAGCCTTTTGTGCGGTCTCAGCGGCCCCAGGGACGCGCAGGGTCTGACCAGTCCTCCATGTCTCTCACCCGGCAGCCCAGGGGCTGAGGCCGGGCAGACGCCGCGAAAGCCTCGCCCTCCCCCGCCCCGCCTCCGCGCCCACCCGCCTCGGTCACGGAACCAGTATCGGGTGGGCACATCCTCGCTGGGCCCGGCCGGACCGTTCCTGAGGGTGGGCCCTTCCCGCCGGTCCGCCGCTCCCCCGCTCCCCCGCTCCCCCGCTCCCCCGCTCCCCACAGGCCGGCGTCGCGAGGGCCTGCGTTACTCCTCCTCTTTCTCCTCCTCCTCCCGCGGCTTCTGCGCGGAGAGGCGTCGCCCGGGGTCTCGGGTTGGAAGCAGGATCTTTGTGGGAAGACGAGGCGGATTCATCACAGGGAATAACGAGGCGGAGGAGAAAGGTCTGTCCTGCAGTCCGTGGGGATGCTGGACGGGTGGAAGGGACGCGCTGCGTCCGGGGAAAACGAGGCTGAAAGCCGACGTCGTGTGTTAATCTAAGAACACTGGGAATGGTTCTAAAGCTGGATGAGTTGAACCAAATATGGCTGTATTTGCTAAGTCGCCCTCATTCCACAGGCGCTTACAGAATACTATAGTCTTAAGATTAAAGTCTTTAAGAGTATATTTACTCCTTAAAAGTTACATGTCCCAAGAAAGACCTTCGGCTTCCAGAAGAGAAAAAAAATGTTTTAGTGGATAAAACTGACTTCTTCCTTATCAAACAGGTGACCTATGCCCTGGAGGGCTTCCCTTGTGTGAAGCCACGAAATAAGCCTGGTAAATTGTCTTAAGGGAAGCAACAGAGTAGCTTTTGTATTAAAACAAACATGAGCAGTTATGGGGTAGGAGCCAAAATTAGTGTGAAGTGCTGGTTTAAAAAAAAAATTGTAAGTTTCTTGAAGTTTATCTCAGGAAACTCTGCCCTTCAGTGTGTACCCTTGCGATACTTAGTTGGAATGGTTTAAGAGGCACAAAAATTCTTAATGACATCAGAGCCCGAAGTGGTTTATGGTATTTTTTTAATCTGCAGTATTGCTGTGAACTTGTAAATGTTTTTGTGCAAAATAAATACATCAAAACTAAAATTTATGTGATACCCAACTTAGTTAACATGATACCTATTGTAGAAAGACCAAACTGAAAATTTAGCCTTTGGAACAATATAGAAACAAACAGAGAAGGGGATAAAAATTAGTTATGTTAACATTTAATCCTGAGAGTTCACATAAGAAGCCGTGTTTCTGGATCTTTGAGAAGAATGAGATCTGGTACCACTAGTTTCATACCACAAGGCAGCCATCTGGCAGCTCCCCTCAGACAAGCATGCTGTCATTTTTGCCACAGTCCTTTCTCATCAGTTTTTATAGCATCACATTGACCAGTGGATTCAAGTACCTGTGTCATGGGCCCATTTTTGTAGTATTGTCTCTTTACATTTGTCTTGTACTCTTGCATAGATATGTCAGCTTTGACTTCATTTAAAAAGGAATAAACTGCAAATGTATGACTTCTTGGGATGAAAGGTAGCATTTTCAAATAAATTATCAAGAGACTTTGGAAAGCTTTTGAGATGTGTAAATTCAAGAAAAAATAAGATTCCTTGGAAATAACATATTAGTACTGATAAAAGATACTGTACGTGTTGTAAGTTCTGATGATTGTGAAGCGAAAAGAAGTGCGATTATATAATGTGTGTTATTAGCATTTCCTGATTTTGCAGCCTAAATAAATTTTAAAAGTAGAGAAATGGACAATGTATAAAATACAACCAATTTCAAATGTGACCATGCTTTTAATATTACGGTATTGTAATATTTAACTTCTCAATAATTTAATTTATACAGATTTAATACAACATTAGTTGTATGATGTGCTTTAAGAGCACTAGATAGATAGATCAGGCCCGTATAAAGAATTAACTGTACTTTTTTGTTGTTAATCTGGATTTACAACACTTGATTATCCAGGAATGGATTAACTGATGACCAGGCTCTGACCTCACTCACTGCCCAATTGCCTTCTAAACCACTAGTAATGGAGCTTATGCTTTGAGGCAGGAGATGATGGCAGGTGGAGAAAGAAGAAATTAAGTTGCTGTATATGTCTGTGTGTATCTCAAATTGCTTTTGAAAGTCAAATACAAAAATTATGGGGCTAAATACTATTTTCATGTCATCAATTCTATTGGTATTCTCCATTCTGATATAGATAATAGCAGAGTTATTTTAAGTTATTTAAATAACTTTCCAAATGTATTTTACGTAGCCAGTTTATTTTTATATTTTCAATAATAGATCTTTAGAATATAAATCACATATCATGATGTTTACTAAAGTATCCAGTGCATTGGTTTCTAGTATATTCAGAGTTGCACAATCATCACCACTAATTTCAGAACATTTTCATCACCCAGTAGAAATCCCCTACCCATTAGCAGTCACTTCCCAGTCTTCCCTCCCCATAACCTCTGACAACCTTAGACTAATGTACTTTTTATTTCTATGAATTTACCTACTCTGAAAAATTCATGTAAATGGAATTGTAATATAATATGTAGCCTTTTGTGACTGGCTTCTTTCACTTGGGATAGTGTTTTCAAGGTTTGTTTACATTGTGTCTTGTATCAGTCAGTACTTCATCCCTTTTTGTTGTCTAATAATAGTCCATTGTATGGATATACCATATTTTTTCATCCCTTCATCAGTTGATGGACATTTGGGTTGCTTCTGCCTTTTGACTGATGTTGCTTCTACTTTTTGAATATTGATAAAAACATCTGTGTACAACTTTTGGTATAGGTACATGTATTCATTTTTCTTAGGTGTGTGGTGGATTTCCTGGGTCGTATGCTAACTATATTTAACCTTTTGAGAAACTGCCAGACTGTTTTCCAAGGTGGCTGTATTATTTTACATTCCCACCAGCAGTATATGAGCGTTTCAATTTCTCCAAATCCTCACCAACACTTAATATTATTGTTTTGATTATAGCCATCATAGTAGATGTGAAGTGATATCTTGTGGTTTTGATTTGCATTTCTCTGATGACTAATGATGTTCGTCATCTTTTTATTTGTTTATTGGCCATTTGATAATCTTTCGAAAAACACCTTTTCAGATTCTTTGCCCATTTGTATTTCTTTGGAGTAATATTTGTTCACATCTTTTGGCTATTTTTACTTGGGTTATTTATCACTTTATTATTAAGTTCTAAGTGTTCTTAATATAGTCTAGATACAAGTCCCTTATCATATGTATGATTTCCAAATATTTTCTCTGTTCTTGGGTTGTCATTTCACTTTCTTGATGATGTCCTTGGAAACAGAAATTTCAAATTTTGATAAGTGCAGTTAATCTTTTTTTTGGTCACTTTTGCCTTTGGTGTCTGTGTTCCAACACTAATTCTGTAGCACCAGGTGGGTGCCCTCCACTTCCATTGAGCACTGACACTAACTACCCAGGGTTGGCATCAGATCCCATAAATTGAAAGGCAAGGTCCCCAGTAAGAATGCCATTGATTTGAACACCAGCTGCAGGTGGGGTCCCCAGGCTACTCATACTTCTGCCTTGCAAGCTAGGAATTCAGGACTTTCCATGATCCCCTCAAGGCTGATAATTCACTACATTGACTCACGTAACTCACTGAAAGTGCTCTACTTGGATTACAGTTTTATTATAAGGGACGCAACTCAGGAACAGCCAAACAGGAAGTAGACACATATGGCAAGGTCTGGGGCAAGGGAAGTATGCTGAACTTCATGCCATCCTTATGAAATGTGGGCATATCACCTTCCCAGCACATGAGTGTGTGTTCAGCAAGGATGCTCCACTGAGCATTGATAAACAGAGTTTTTATGAGGTTTCATTACATGGGCATGATTGATTAAATCATTAGCTACATGACTGAACTTAAACTTAAGTCTTCCTCTTTTCCTAGAAAATTGTCCTGACCAGTTTATTCCTCTAAACATATGGTGGTTCTGTCTAGTGACTAGCCCCCATCCTGAAGCTACCTAGGGGCCTATGTCACCTCATTAATGTAATACAGACACTCCTGTTTCTTGGGAAATTCCGCAGCTTTTTGATACTTTCTACTGGGAACTATGTACAAAGACCAGATCCTCTTTCTTGTAAGATGCCACAGTATCACATCACTTAGCCAAATTTTAAGTATATTTGCATATCACACTCAGTGACAAGAAAGAGAGTAGCTTGGGACTTGTTACCATTCTGCTTCTCATCTTTCATTTTTAAAATATGAATATGACCCTGGTAAATTTATACAATCAAGTAGAAAGGTGCCCTGGCTGCTAATAATGTTATCTGTTCAACTGTTTTGTGTTACACTCTGGAAAGTACAGTCACAGAAGCACAGAAAAAGCCAAGCAGTTTCTGCTGCAGAAACACTGAAAGGGTATGTCCCCAGGGTTGTCATTTATATCATAATATACAAAAGAAAGAGTCTATGAATAAGTGACTTTATTTTTTGTAATAGGGATTATAAGGATTACACCTACAGATGACCTCTGAGACAGCCTTCATTTTGCTGCTTGCTCTAGAAAAGTACTTGAATACCTAATATTAAATATATTAGAAAAACAGAAATATTATTCTTAGATGACATTTTTACCCAGAATTCATCACTTTTCTTTAGTACTTTTTAATTTTTTCTTCATTATATTTTCACTGCCTGCATAGAGTACATTTATTATTTTATTCTGATTACAGAATTTACCTTAAAGATTTATATTACATTTTGCATTACACATATTGAGGCTTTTATTTTCAAAATAAACATGCTACGGGAAAGAGAAACCAGTTATGCGTAATTCTTTGGCAAATGGTTCAGAAAGTCAACTTTAATGATACTTGGCTTTAAGTATGTATTACTAATTACATAAAAGCAATACAAAAGATAAAAATGGTAACTTGGTTTTTTTTTCTGCTCTCAAGGGAACCAATAATGCAGCTGCATGTGGTCACAATGAATAATACAAGGAAAAGAATTTGAGGGGACAGGAAATTTCAAGGTTTAATTTGGGACCTTTTAAATCCCACCAGCTGTGCCTTGGTGCAGGAAAGGTGGTATAGTGGAATTATCTGATACTAGATGTCATTTTAATGTTACTCATCTAACAAATATAACTAATAAGCAGAAGTAGATAAGTTGGAGTGCCACCAGAGACTGTTTTTATGAAAGCTAAGGGAGAGACTAGCAAGGTCTTTGCAATGTACAGAAAAAGATAACATTTTCTACTGGAATTTGCAATTAAGGTGTCAGTCTTTGAGCAGCATGTTAGTCTTCTTAAAGTGTTTTGAATCGAAAGGTAGAGATAAAAGCCAAATTGAAAAGAGGATAATAATAAATAGGAGAAGAGGCAACCAGGAGTTTCAGCCTGTGCTATATTCAGTAAGTATTAATTTGTTTCTAACAACTAATGTCGAGTCTTATTTGGAATATTGACACTAATATTTCTAGCACAGTTCAGATCACTGTCCCCCTTAGTCACATTCAAAATGTGAGGCTCTCCATTCTTCCATGCACTTATCCCCCCACACCACTATGTGCTCCCTTCTCTGAGACCCAGTCTTTCATTCCACCCCATCTACCAAACTTCTCCACTTAACCATTTGGCATTCTACATCTCCTGTCAGAGGGGAATGTCTTCAATTTCCTTATCCCTCACTCCCTCAAATCTATCTTTACCTATTCTCTTTACCCTTAAAAGATAAAGGAAATACATCTTTTGCTCTCAGTAGGCCAGGCTCAACCTGGATGCTCTAAGCTCATTATGTCTCATTTCTTTCAGGAATCTAATTCCTTCAATTATCCCCCTTCTCTTCTGTATCTTCAACTCTCCAAATTGAATCATTCAACCTTAGCATCTTCGCATTGAAAAAGGTAAAAAGATTTTTCCTCTATGTCCCATCCTCTCTCTTAGTTTTTAAGCATGTGTCTACAAAAGAGTAGTCTATCTGTGAAGTTTCTTCCTCACTGCACATCCTCCTGATCTCACTGTAATCAAGCTACTTCTTGTACCACCCTACTCCAGTTGCTCTCACTAGTGACTCCTGTTTGCTAAATTCAATGGTCATTTTCTAGCCCTTTATTCAGTTGTCCTCTGACCATTTGACATGACCAACCATTCACTTCTTGAAGTTCTCTTCCTTGTGGTCCATGATACTATATTCTCTGTTAATATTCTATAAATATTCTATACTGTATTCTCAGTTTTCTTCAACTCCGTGCACCTCCTTTTCTATCTCTCTTTAAAAGGCCCTTCTTTCCTTAGTTCTAACTTGTTAATATTCACCAAGATTCAATCCTTAGTCTTCTTCACAATATGTAAATATGCTCAAGTAAGGATGACCTTCAAGAAAGAAAAACCTCTTTTACCTTGTGTTCCTCTTTAAATTATGACCATATTTGTCAACACGTCTTTATGGCTCTGCAGGATGCTTAGACAATTTCTTTTCTAGAATATAAAGAGAGACCAGGATTTCAGAAACCTCTTCCTGGAGTGCCTTCCCTAAATTTATCAGTTTTTTTGTTGGCCGCCTCTGCTCAAATCTTTCTGGATTATTTAGACAGTATTATTTACTCCCTTGCTCACTCACTTTTCTACTACAGCACTTAATCGCAGTTCACCTTCTCTGCACAAATCTTTCTGGATTTTTGAGACAATATTATTTTATACTCCCTTGCTCACTCATAATACTTTTCTACTGCAGTACTTCATTACAGTTTGCATTGTGATTCTATCTCTGCAGATGAATGTGATTTCCCTGAGAGCAGGAGAACAAATTTTTTTTTAGTCTCTTTAATGGCAGAGAAATTGCCTTCATATCTTATACATAGTATGTATTCAGTAAATGCTGGTTGAAGTTTTTGTTAGTTGTGCTGTTTTGTTTGCCATGGACAGAAGCCCAGTACACCGAAATAACATGACAGATTGAAGAACCTCAATAAACAGTGATACTGTAGTAAGAACAGAGGTGGACTGATGAAGAAGTGACAGTTGTGGTTCCTCCATTAGAAGGATAAAGAGGGAGATTGTTTGCAGACAGCTCGTTCTAGGAGTTTTACAGGTAATGGAAGCAGTAGAGAGAGGGTAGTACAGACAACACAAAACAGTTAACCTCTGCCAGGCGCAGTGGCTCACACCTGTAATCCCAGCACTTTGGGAGGCCGAGGCGGGTGGATCATGAGGTCAAGAGATCAAGACCATCCTGGTCAACGTGGTGAAACCCCATCTCTACTAAAAATACAAAACATTAGCTGGGCATGGTGGCGCGTGCCTGTAATCCCAGCTACTCAGGAGGTTGAGGCAGGGGAATTGCCTGAACCCAGGAGGCAGAGGTTGCAGTGAGCTGAGATCGCACCATTACACTCCAGCCTGGGTAACAAAAGTGAAACTCCGTCTCTAAAAAAAAAAAAAAAAAAAAAAAAACAGTAAACCTAAAAATGGTTTAAACAATAAGGATACATTTATGACATAATTTATAAGCAGGGCAGTTTCAGGTAACTCAGTGATATTAAGGACCCAGGTTCTTTCTGTTTTTTTCCGTTCTGCCGTCTTTATATATTGGTATGCCCTCTTAAACTGGCTTCTCTCAAGGTCTCAAGATGGTTGTTAGCACTCCAGGCATCACTTGCAAATGAAAATGTCAGAAGGCAGAAAAGGGAACATTTCTTTTTAAGAGCCTTAGCCCACTTTTAAGAATGAAGGAAATCTCAAAAGCTGATTTATCATGTCATACTGGCCAGAGTGATAACACATGCCCAACTGCCTATACCAGTCATGTGGCAAGGAGAGCACCTTTGATTATTGGGCCTGGGTCCAGCAGCAGCAACATCACCCAGGAACTTGTGATGAGTATACATGCTTAGGCCTCACTGCAAACCTACTGAATTATGAAAGAAACACTGGGCAGTGCCTGAGAGGGTGCTGACCCACCAATCTGTGTTTCAATTAGTACTTCAAGTAATTTTGATGTACACTGAGTTTGTGAACCACTGGCTTAGAGCAATCAAGATCCATCCCTTGGGGCTAGGGAAGGGCTTAGCCTCCTTTGAAGGATATGAGGCCAAGAAGAGAAGAGAGAACGGGGAAGAATGAATGTTAGATAGGCAGCCAAAAAATGTTGACACAGTTCTTCTGGGAGTACGGTCTTTCTTAGTGTCAGCTTCTGTTGCTGCCCTCCCTTCTTTTATTCTCTGTGTGGGTGGGCCTCATGAGGCCATGCTGACCTACCTGCTTAATCTCTGAAGCAGCACACTGTATTTCAAAAATGTGACTCATTTGCTTCTGATTATCACACCACAGTGGCTATAATCTAGTTTGTTTGCTGTGAAGGACTTTTAGTTTCTTTAGATTGTAAAAATATGAATGCAAAACAAAAACACTTTAAAAACTTAAGATATTACCAGTAGTCATTTCAAAATACTCAAATATGTTTCTTTCATTTTCTGCCTTTCCTGATTTTTCTTCAGGACATTTATATCGATTTTGTAGTAAGGGAAAACTATTGAACTTAAAAGATGTTTTTAAAGTAATAACATTTCAATAAACCTACATTTTGTTTTCCTTTTGTAATTTTATTGTGCCCATCTAGTTGTAATAACATTTTGCCTTTTTGATAGGTTTCCTAAAAGACAGGAAAAATGGAGGAATCTGTAAACCAAATGCAGCCACTGAATGAGAAGCAGATAGCCAATTCTCAGGATGGATATGTATGGCAAGTCACTGACATGAATCGTCTACACCGGTTCTTATGTTTTGGTTCTGAAGGTGGGACTTACTATATCAAAGAACAGAAGTTGGGCCTTGAAAATGCTGAAGCTTTAATTAGACTGATCGAAGATGGCAGAGGATGTGAAGTGATACAAGAAATAAAGTCATTTAGTCAAGAAGGCAGAACCACAAAACAAGAGCCTATGCTCTTTGCACTTGCCATTTGTTCCCAGTGCTCTGACATAAGCACAAAACAAGCAGCATTTAAAGCTGTTTCTGAAGTTTGTCGCATTCCTACCCATCTCTTTACTTTTATCCAGTTTAAGAAAGATCTGAAAGAAAGCATGAAATGTGGCATGTGGGGACGTGCCCTCCGGAAGGCTATAGCAGACTGGTACAATGAGAAAGGTGGCATGGCCCTTGCTCTGGCAGTTACAAAATATAAACAGAGAAATGGCTGGTCTCACAAAGATCTGTTAAGATTGTCACATCTTAAACCTTCCAGTGAAGGTAAGCATAAGATCATTGGTAAGAGGGGTGGATAAGGGATATCCAATGAATAGCACATTTTTATTTAATATAAAACAAGCATGTAATATTTTGCCTTTCATTCTCAAAACATACATTCATTCAAATATGTTTAATGCCTTCCTGGAATTACACACCTACCACAGGCCATCAAGACAATAATCAAGAATCAAATGACAGTCTTGTAGGTTAATATTCTGAAACTTAAAATGTCAGTGTCCTAACTGTAATGCTCACCCAAGGGATTATGGACTGTGTAAGCAGGATGGGCAAGATCAAAAGTCAGAATAGGCAAAACAGCTCCTTGCCAGTAGGTGGCAGATGGCCATGCTGTACCCACCGCTCTAGCCCATTATTTTTTACCCTCCCCATCTTGTCTTCCAAGGATGTGTGTTCTATGGAACCTAAAGATACACTATATCAGTTACCTGCTAGTGCTGAACTTAACAATTCAGGAAGTTCATTGTCTTCAGGCAGTTAGTTAGAGGACATGGTAACTTGGGGCAGTTTTTCTGTATCTATGGATAGAGACTTTTGAGAAGTTACTTGGATCCATAGTAATTACTAGTCCTTTTAAAGAGATAAATAAGAAAAGCTCTTGGGCAGAAGTAAGATTAAAGTGTGAACTTCCACAAAAATCAACATGTCCAAAATTTGACTTTTTTTTTTTTTTTTTTTTGCACCAGAAGTGAAACTTGAAAAGACATCCACTCAGAAGGGTGGATTCACATTTCAGTTCTGTGGCCTTAAGCCAAATAACTTAACCTGAGTTTCTGTACCTTCATCTATTAAAAGTAGGGTAAGGAGAATAAGTTTACAATTATCACAGTTATTGTGACTAAATGTCCTAGCACCTAACATAATAGGAGTACACTGTTGGTTCTCTCTTTCTTCTTCCACACATATCTTTATACACAGAATCTCTTCAGTAATTTTTAACTTAACGTTTTTTTGACTACAAGTAGAATTTTTCAAATGAAATGTAAACAATAAATTGCAAATATTTATATGTAAAATAGTTGAATGATACAGAAACATATGACGCAGTCCTACCCTTCAAAAGAAATCACTGCATATCAGCAGTCCCCAGTCTTTTTTGGTACCAGGGACTGGTTTTATGGAGGAAAATTTTTCGACAAACAGTGGGGAGGGCAGGGTGGTTTCAAAATGAAACTGTTCCACCTCAGGCGTTAGGTTCACATAAGGAGAACGCCATCTAGATCCCTCACATGTGCAGTTCACAGTAGGGTTCTCACTCCTATGAGACTCTAATGGCCAGCCACTGATCTTACAGGACATGGAGCTCACTCACCTGCTTCTCACCTCCTGCTGTACAGCCCAGTTCCTAACAGTCCCTGGACTGGTAATCGGTACATAGCCTGGGAGTTGAGGACCCTTGCTGTATATGATACATTGTAATTTACTCCAAATTTTTCCTAAACATATATTACTATGTTTCACTAAATTTTGTTATATGTTTTCTGTGTTTCAGTAAAAAGTATATTATTGCTATTTTTTTCAGGTCAGTAGAAATAGTTGCATATATAGTGTTGTATGACTATATTTAGCTAGTCTCTTTGACAACAGTTGTTTCTGGTTTCTTATACTGTTACAAAAATACTACAGTGAAAACACTTGCATAGAGTGAAAATACTTGCATAATGGTTAAATCCACAAACAGTATGTGAAAGGGATCAATGTACCCACATTTGAACACTGGCTGTTGTCTTTATTTTTTAATCTCTTCCAATAGAATGGTGAAAGATTCTATCTTGTTCTTGGAATTTACATTTTTGGACAGAAGCTCATCTTTTCATGTGCTGATTTTATATATATATATATATATATATATATACACATACACACACATATATATAATAGACATATATGCATATATATAAAATAGTTTATACTATTGTATCATAGCCTTTTATCCACTTACTGTCTTTTTAACTATTGATTGTAGTCACTATTCATTCAACAGATATTTATTTATTTTATTTGTTTGTTTATTTTGAGATGGAGCTTTGCTTTCGTTGCCCAGGCTGGAGTGCAATGGCACAATCTAGGCTCACTGCAACCTTCACCTCCTGGGTTCAAGTAGTTTTCCTGCCTCAGCCTCCCAAGTAGCTGGGATTATAGTCATCTACCACCACGCCCAGCTAATTTTTGTATTTTTAATAGAGACAGAGTGTCACCATGTTGGTCAGGCTGATCTCAAACTCCTGATTCAGGTAATCTGCCCACTTCAGCCTCCCAAAGTGCTTGGACTGCAGGTGTGAACCACCATGCCTGGCCCTCAGCAAATATTTATTGCACACTACTATGGATAGACACTGTTCTAAGAACTTGGGGTTCATATTACAGGAGTTAATAATAATGTATTATTTATATACATTACATGCATTTTTCCTTCTGTTTTTTTTTTCTTTGTCCAGGGGGACATTTATGGCACACTAAAGTTTGGAATTTTAATGTAATCAAATGTATCCACGTCTTCATAGGTTTATGTTTTCTGTTAGGATTAGAAAGGCCTTTGCTGGCCTAAAATATGTATCTGTGGTTTTTTTCCTAACATTTTAATGGTTAAGAAACATTATTTTCTACGTTTAAATTTTTGATCCAAACATTTGATCAACGTAAGAAGGACTTAGGCATCCAGCTTTATTTATTTGTTTGTTGAGATGGGTCATGGAAGTGTGGAGCAAGAACTAGACTAAGAGAAAGACCACCTGTTACTAGTTCTAATTGGACCAATTAGTTTCTGAACTTGTGAAAATAATTTTCTGTGCTTTGTTTTCTTGGTCTATATCATGAGGAATTAGTAGATGTCCCGTAAACTTACTTCCACACATAGGATTCTTCAATTTGAAGTTGTTGAGGGCAGAACTCATCATTGAAACCATGTTAGTAATGGCAATATCATGATGGAGATAGAGAATCCCTAGTGTTTCAAAGTTTAAAAATTTGGAAAAACTCTAAGCTACAGAATTAATAATTTTAATGCCTAAACTATAATATGTATTTATAACAGATAAAACAAGTCAAAATGCGATTTAAGTAATCGGGTACGGTATTTTTAGTTGATTTTGTACTAAAATCTGTAATATACCAAGAGTCACAATACTTGAGAAGGTCCTGCATGTAACTAGTAACAGGCGGTCTTTCTCTTAGTCTAGTTCTTGCTTCACATTCCATGACCCATCTCAACAATTGGCCAACCCAATTACACAACTGGGTAGGACAGATCTGCTTTAAGGAATTTTTATTTTCACTAGAAAAACAAAATAGAAGATACACGCACATGAAACATTTACTCATTTAAGATGATTTTGTACCAAAATTTGGAACATGACAAGAGTCACAGTACTTGAGAAGGGCCTGCATGTTAGTGTTAACTTTTCATCAAGTTATTTAAATTAGAATTTAAAAATAACATTATAGGCTCAATCAGCAAAAAGATGTGTTTCATATGGCCTATATGATGTTGTAGGGAAAAAAATGAATTTTTTGTCATCTTTAAAAATCAGAAAACATAAAAACCTGTATTCTGGCTTCGCTTGAAAGTAAATTTTTTTCTTTTGGTAGTAATTAGTCAATACATAGCTACAGCTCTTGTCAGGGCATACTCTCTTCAGTCACCACAACCTAACAACTCCCTATTGCGTCACCATGGTGGTTTTTTTTTTGAGACGGAGTCTCACTCTTTCGCCCAGGCTGGAGTACAGTGGCGCGATCTTGGCCCACTGCAACCTCTGCCTCCTGGGTTCAGATAATTCTCCTATCTCAGCTTCCCGAGTAGGTGGTATTACAGGCATGTGCCATGATGCCCAGCTAATTTTCTTATTTTTAGTAGAGACAGAGTTTCACCATGTTGGGCATACCGATCTCGAACCCTAGGCCTCAGGTGATCTGCAGGACGCCTCGGCGTCCCAGAGTGCCAGGATTACAGGCGTGAGTCATGGTGCCTGTTCTCACTGTGTTTTCTTTCTTTATTTTATATGCCCTTCCCTCATAGATGTTTTAATTTTGTAATCCAGTCCCTGATGTTTTATAGAAGTGGTGAAACTAAGACCTAGAAAGATCACCATTTGTTGGTAAAGTATAGGCTAGAAACCAGATTTTCTCACCCCTAATCAAAAGCTGTTTTCTCTTTCTTTTATTGGAAGAAATTGTGGAAGGAATCAAAAAGTTACTTTCTTTTTTTTTTTTTGGACCAGTAATACTTCTCATCTATTAAAACATAATGTAAAAGAACTTACCTACCTGTCCACTTCTTATTTCTGCTGTTTGTAAATATGTATATTTTATTCAACAGCAAAGAGAGACAAGTGAATATAATTAATATAATATTAGTTGAGATCGATCTGTACTCTTGTGAATTGTCCTGAGATTATGGACCTAAAACTTTCTAATACTGGTGTCTTTAAAAAGAAAAGAAAGAAAAGCCTCTGTAATAAAATGACTCAGGATACAGAAGGTTTTTTTACTCCAGCGTCTCATATTTAAATAGTAATAATGGAATAAGAAAATTAATTCAACCTCTGTGCTTAATTGTTATATCATAGAAAGCAGCATCCCAGTGTAAAGGTGTTAATTCTTGTGTATCTAGTTATGTTGATCATATAATGCATTTTGAGGAAACATGTTCTGTTTTTTTACTTGGTAATCCTGCATGCTTTTTCAATTCTTTATCTTGTTAAAGGACTTGCAATTGTGACCAAATATATTACAAAGGGCTGGAAAGAAGTTCATGAATTGTATAAAGAAAAAGCACTCTCTGTGGAGACTGAAAAATTATTAAAATATCTGGAAGCTGTAGAGAAAGTGAAGCGCACAAGAGATGAGCTAGAAGTCATTCATCTAATAGAAGAACACAGATTAGTTAGAGAACACCTTTTAACAAATCACTTAAAGTCTAAGGAGGTGAGTAAATTATATGATACAGCATGTGATTAAACATGAGTAATTTACTGTAGGTGTTCAAAGGATAAACGGGGTAACTATATATTCTTTTAAAAAGAAATTATTTAAAATATATCTTGAAATTAATGTCTATTTAAAACACCTACCATGATGTCCAATGTGATGTAAGTGGCATTTGTGTTAGTTTCACTCTAGAAAATCTACTGCCTTGCTAGTTAAAAAATAATCATCTATGTATTTCCTTTATACTGCACTTCCTTTTTCTAATAAAAAACAAGTTAGCTTATTTGATAAGCCTTTGATTTAGACAAATTTTAATTCTGAAAGTACTCTGCACCCCAAATGAAAGCCTCAGAGACTATATTATGAATATTTATTGATATAGATATGTTATACTGATCTATTTTCCCTTAATTCCTGATGTTTCTACCTATGTTACTGCAATAGGTATGGAAGGCTTTGTTACAAGAAATGCCTCTTACTGCATTACTAAGGAATCTAGGAAAGATGACTGCTAATTCAGTACTTGAACCAGGAAATTCAGAAGTATCTTTAGTATGTGAAAATCTGTGTAATGAAAAACTATTAAAAAAGGTAAGCATTATCAGTGTTCTTTAGCTACTACTAACTGAAAAAGTAGCTCTTAAATTTTAGAAATGCAGTCAGCGCATTTTTAAGGTATTTTGAGATATTTATCATACTGAATTGTATTATGGCTCTTAAGTATAAGTTGAATACATTTTCATTTTTCTCTTTTTTGTATGAAATACAGTAACACAATATTGTTAGCTGCAATAACAAAAATCTAACAAATATACATAATCACTATTTTTTGCTAAAATTTTCTTTATACTTTCTGCCTTTTTTTGTTTCTAGGCTCGTATACATCCATTTCATATTTTGATTGCATTAGAAACTTACAAGACAGGTCATGGGCTCAGAGGAAAATTGAAGTGGCGCCCTGATGAAGAAATTTTGAAAGCATTAGATGCTGCTTTTTATAAAACATTTAAGGTAGTGATATGATTTTTGTTTTAAAACAAATGACTTGAGGCTTAATATCTTTTGTAATAATACATTTTAAAGGAAGTATTAATAGTTTAATCATTTTTAATTAGGTATTCATTTTTCTTTGGTTCATATGAAGTGGGTATATAATTAATATCGTAAGTTTTTAAGTATTTCTCTTTACCCTTGGACAGCAGCAAGTTATTCTAAGATCATTTTAGTAACTTTTAAGTTACTGACTCTATTAATAGTTTGTTTTCTCAGTGCTATAAAGAAATAACCAAGACTAAGTAGTTTATAAAGAAGAGAGGTTTAATTGCCTCATGGTTCTACAGATTGTACAGGAAGCACAGCGGCTACTGCCCTGCTTCTGAGGATGTCTTGGGAAACTTACAGTCATAGCAGAAGGGGAAGCAAACACGTTCTTCTTCACGTGTCGACAGAAATGCCGAGCAAAAGGGGGAAAAGCTCCTTAAAAAACCATCAGATCTCATGAGAACTTATTCACTATCACAAGAACAGTTTAGGGGAAATCGCCCCTGTGATTAAATTATCTCTACCTGGTCCTGGTCCCACCCTTGACACTTGGGGATTATGGGAACTACAATTCAAGATGAGATTCGGGTGGGGACATAGCCAAACCATATTAACAATCATGGCAGAAGTAGGGGTGTGGTGCTAAACTATTAGAAACTGCCCCCATGATCCAGTCACTTCCCACCAGGTCCCACCTTCACCTCCCACCAGGTCCCACCTTCAACATTGGGGATTACAATTGAACATAAGATTTGTGTGGAGACACAAATCCAACCCATATCACTAACTTTAGAAATTTGCCTTCCTATCAGGTCCTTTGACTTGGTCCTCTGTTTTTCCCATTAATTGGCAGATAGATCTCATGAGTCTTGATTGAAAAAATGAGTTTTTAGTAATGGAAATCTCACATCAAAGACATAAGCTAAAACATCTTGCTGTATAACAAAATAATAGCAACCAAATTCAGCAGCAAAATAAAAGGGTTATATACCATAACCAAGTGATACTTATCCCTAGCATGCAAGGATGGTACAACATATGAAAACTAATCAATGTAATACATCACATTAGTAGAATTAAGTGACAAAAACAACATGATTATCTTACTGATGCGGAAAAAGCATTGGCAGATTTCAACATTCCTTCATGATAAAACCACTGTATAAACTAGGAGTAGAAATGAACTTCCTCACCATGATAAAGGCCGGAGATTTATAAAAAAATGTTTATACCTTATAGCTAATGTCATAATGGTGAGTGATTGTAAGGTTTTCCCTAAAATCAAGAAAAACACAAGGATGCCCAGTTTTTCCACTTTGATTCCACATAGTATTGGCAGTTATAGTAATAAGGCAAGAAAATGAAATAAGAGACATCACAATTGGAACGAAAGAAGTAAAATTATCCTCAGATGCCATGATCTCATATTTAGAAAACCCTAAAAAAACCCACACAAAACTACTGAAGTTAACAAATGAATTCAGCATAGTTTAGGGTATAAAACCAACACATAAAAAAATCAGTTGTATTTCGATATACTAGCAATGAACAATCAAAAAAAAGAAATTAAGAAGACATTTCCATTTACAGTAAAAGACAGGAGTAAATTTAAGAAACTGCAAGACTTATACACTAAGAACCACAAAACACTGCTAAAAGAAATTAAGTTATGAATAAATAGAAAGACATCTGTGTTTATCAGTTGGAAGACTTAATATTGTTACTAAGATGACAATACTATCCAAAGCAGTAAATCTACAGATTTAATACAGTCTCTTTCAAAATCCCAATGGCATGTTTTACAGAAATAGAAAAACCCACTCTAAAATTCCTAAGAAATTTCAAGTGACCTGAAAGAGCCAGAACAATCTTACAAAGAAGAACAAAGCTGGCGGACTCACTCTTCTGGCTTTCAGTTACTAGAAAGCTGTAGTAATCAAAACGGTCTGGCAGTGGCAAAAGAATAAATATATCGACCAATGAACTGAATAGAGAGTCCAGAAATGAAACCTTACATACATGCTCAGTTGACTCTTTTTATTTTTGTTTGTTTTTTTTTTGAGACAGAGTCTCACTCTGCCACCCATTTTGGAGTGCAGTAGTGCAATCTCAGCTCACTGCAACCTCCACCTCCTGGGTTCAAGTGATCATGCCTCAGCCTCCCAAGTAGCTGGGATTACCGGTGTGCACCACCGCACTCAGCTAATTTTTTTTTTTTTTTGAGACGGAGTTTCGCTCTTGTTACCCAGGCTGGAGTGCAATGGCGTGATCTCGGCTCACCGCGACCTCCGCCCTCTGGGTTCAGGCAATTCTCCTGCCTCAACCTCCTGAGTAGCTGGGATTACAGGCACGCGCCACCATGCCCAGCTAATGTTTTTTGTATTTTTAGTAGAGACGGGGTTTCACCATGTTGACCAGGATGGCCTCGATCTCTTGACCTCGTGATTCACCCGCCTCGGCCTCCCAAAGTGCTGGGATTATAGGCTTGAGCCACTGTGCCCGGCCTACTTAGCTAATTTATTCTATTTTTAGTAGAGACGGGGTTTCACTGTGTTGGCCAGGCTGGTCTCGAACTCCTTGCCTCAAGTGATCCACCCACCTTGCCCTTGCAAAGTGCTAGGATTATAGACGTGAGCCACCGCACTTGGATATCAGTTGACTTTTGGTAAGGGTGTCAAGATGATTCAATGGGGACAGGATAATCTTCAACAAATGGTGTTGGGAAAACTGCATATCTAAATACAAAAGAATGAAATTGGACCATTATCTTACACCAAATACAAGAATTAGTTCAAAGTGGATCAGTGACCTAAATTCAAGAGCTAAACCTAGAAAACACCAAAAACACAGGCAGTAAAAGAAAAAATAAATTGGACATCATCAAACTTAAAACTTTTGTGTATTAAAGGATACTGTTAAGACAGTTAAAAGATAATCTGCACAATGGGAGAAAATATTTGCAGATCATATATCCGATAAGGGCCTAATATCCAGAATGTTGAAAGCCCCTAAAATTCAGCAAAAGTACAAACAACCCAATTTAAAAATGGGCAAAGTACTTGAATAGACATTTTTCTAATGATACACAAATGAGTAATAAGAACTGAAAAGGGCCAGGTGCAGTGGCTCACGCCTGTATTCCCAGCACTTTGGGAGGCCGAGATGGGTGGATCACCTGAGGTCAAGAATTTGAGACCAGCCTAGCCAGCATGGTGAAACCCCATCTCTACCCAAAAAAAATAGAAAAAATTATTTGGGTGTGGTTGTGCGCGCCTGTAATCTCAGCTACTTAGGAGGCTGAGGCAGGAGAATCTCTTGAACCCAGGACTCGGAGGTTCCAGTGAGCTGAGATTGTGCCATTGCACTCCAACCTGGGCAACAAGAGTGAAACTCTGTCTCAAAAAAAAAAACATGAAAAATACTCTAAACATCATTAATAATCAGAGAAATGCAAATCCAAACCACAGTATGATACCACTTCACATCTAGTTGGATAGCTAATATTTAAAAAAGCAGAAAACAAGAATTGGGGAAGATGTGGAGAAATTGGGACTCTAATGTATTTCTGGTGGGAATGTAAAATGGTAAAACAGTGCAGCCTCTTTGGGAAACAATTTGGCAGTTCTCAAAAGGTTAAACAGAATTTAACATAACCGCCCAGCAATTCCATTTCTAGGTATATACCCAAAAAAATTTAAAATAGGTATTCAAACAGATATTTGTATACCAGTATTCACAGTAGCATTATTCACAGTAGCCAAGAGTTAAATGTATTCTTTTATTCTTTTTGATGCTATTGTAAACAAATGTTTTCTTAATTTTCTTTTTAGAGTTGTTCATTGATAGTATGTAGAAATACAACTGATTTTGATGAAAAACTCAAATATTCATCAGCAGATGGATAAGCAAAATGTGGAATATACAATAGAATATTATTCAGCCTTAGAAAAGAATTAAATTTGATACGTGCTACACCATGGATAAACCTTGAAAACATTATACTATGTAAAATAAGCCACACAAACAAGGACAAGTATTGTAGGATTCCATTATATGAGGTATCTACAGTAGGCAAATTTATAGAGACAGAAATGGAATAGAAGTTGCTAGGGGCTAGGGGGAGACATGGGAATGGAGAGTTGTTATTTAATCGGTAAAGGTTCTATTTGGGATGATGAAAACATTCTAGAAATAGATAGAGGTGATAGTTACACAACATTGTGAACGTGCTTAATGCCACTCAATTGTACACTTAAAATTGTACATTTGTAAAAATGGTTAAAAAGGTCAAATTAATGTTATTTATATTTTAACACAAAAATTTCTTACTAAAAATTCTGATTTTCAGTGAGTAAAGATTTTAAAAATAGGATGATAACTTTAAGTAAAATTATTGAATAGATTATTTCCTTTGTTTTACCTTTAAAAGCTAAGCATTTTTATTTATTATTAGTTTTAAATTTTCAGTCATAGCAGCTATAGCAGATGAGCCTTTTAAAATAGTTGTCAATTGGTATATCAAAAATCTGAAGACCTTTTATCTTAGAGTCTTTTTAATGTAAGATGACAAGTAAATATGATTTAGAAATTTAGTCTACTTATAATTTTTGTTATTGCCTTTAATGATTGTTTTATTTTGTTTTTGCCGTAGACAGTTGAACCAACTGGAAAACGTTTCTTACTAGCTGTTGATGTCAGTGCTTCTATGAACCAAAGAGTTTTGGGTAGTATACTCAACGCTAGTACAGTTGCTGCAGCAATGTGCATGGTGAGAACACCTAAGACGATTTTGCCACTCTAAAAACATGTTTACTATATAGCACAACTATAAGTTGGATAATGATTAAGAATTATGCTTTCACTTTTTTCTGTCATTTCAGCTTGTCACATTTTTGTGTAAAGCCAAAGTGTTAAGTGTGTTGGAAAAGTATGCCTAAAGAACAGGCAGAAGAAAAATTTTAGTTTTTACAACAAAAGATTAAATATTAATGGTTTTTTAAAGAAGTAGATAATGCTTAAAGAAAATGAAAACGAAAAAACAAAATTTTTTTAAAGATAATGCTTATTTAGTGATATGAAGATTAAAAGATTGGGAACTAATAGGAGTGTCTAGAGACTAGTTCTATCCTGACTGTCAGTGAATAACAGATGAATCATAGGCAAACTTTTTAGCTTCTTTACTGGGGCTTTATTTCTTATCTAATAAAATGAGAATAATATTTACTGTATTTATTTCAAAGGATAATTGTGAAAGCCAGTTGTTTTGTGAAGGTACTCTGAAAGCTGTACTACTGTTACTGGATAGCTCTAAAACACGCTGATAAAAAGTTACCTCAGTGTTTCTTTTAAACATGAAGTTGGATAAAATTCAAAATATGGTATTTCCCCTCAAATTTGCTGAAAATTACTGCCATTGAATTTTTCAGGTTGTCACACGAACAGAAAAAGATTCTTACGTAGTTGCTTTTTCAGATGAAATGGTACCATGTCCAGTGACTACAGATATGACCTTACAACAGGTCTTAATGGCTATGAGTCAGGTAAGAAGCTGGGTGTGTGGGGTTTTTTTTTTTTTTTTTTTTTTTTCCTTCTTCTTTTTTGAGACAGAGTCTCACTCTGTCACCAGGCTGGAGTGCAGTGGTGCAATCTCAGCTCACTGCAGCCTCTGCCTCCTGGGTTCAAGCAACTCCCCTGCTTCAGCCTCTCAAGTAACTGGGACTACAGGTGTGTACCACCACGCCTAGCTAATTTTTTGTATTTTAGTAGAGATGAGGTTTCACCATGTTGGCCAGGATGGTCTTGATCTGACCTCATGATCTGCCCGCCTCAGCCTCTCCAAGTGCTGGGATTACAGGTGTGAGCCACCGCATCTGGCCCAGAAGCTGTGTTTTTTAAGTTTACGTAACATGCATAATGATTTTATTTTGATGTCAAATATTGTATTAATCTGTGAGAACAGAATTTTTTTGTCTCAATTTTCTCATGACAAGCACAAAAACCAAAACTATATATGCCAGCTTTGGGAAGGCTGTATATATTGGTGCTAAACAAAATGATATTGTAAAGACTAGTATTTTTAAGGATTTATTTATTATTCATGTGTTTGTTCTGAGCTAGATCCCAGCAGGTGGAACAGATTGCTCTCTTCCAATGATCTGGGCTCAGAAGACAAACACACCTGCTGATGTCTTCATTGTATTCACTGATAACGAGACCTTTGCTGGAAGTGTCCATCCTGCTATTGCTCTGAGGGACTATCGAAAGGTAAAACAAATTCTAATATGGTTCCTCACCCAAATAATATTTTAATACTTGGTTGGTTTTTGTTTTGAGACAGGACCTCACTCTGTTGCTGAGGCTGGAGTGCGGTGGCTCAGTCATAGCTCACTGCAAAATCAATCTCCCAGCCTCGAGTGATTCTTCCACCACAGCTTCCCAAGTAGCTGGGACTGCAGGAGCATGCCATCACATCTAGCTAAATTTTTGTAGAGATGGAGTTTCACCATGTTGCCTGGGCTGGTCTCAAACTCCTAGGCTCAAGCGATTCTCCAACCTCGGCTTCGCAAAGTGCTGGGATTACCAGCATCAGCTACCACACCTGGCCATACTTGATTCTTACCCACTTATGTTTTTCAAAAAATGTTACTGCAAGTAGTTCTGTATCTTGTATAGGAGCCAATGTCTGTTATAGACTCAGCAGTACTTAAAATAAGTTTTGGTTACACATATATAATTTATTTTAACCAGTTTCCCTTGCTAAACATTACTAAGAATATCCTTTGCAGACAGTATTTTTTGGTAATAACCAGAATATTTGTTTTACCTTAACTGTAAGTTTTTTAAAATAATTCAGTGTACTTTTTGAAAAATTGAAAGTATTGTTAATGAGTTTTGCAAAAGGGCAAAAGGATTACATAAAATTAAGACTATAATCTATGCTCTACGTTTTATGGACATATCTGTGTTCTAATCAGTATCCTCCAGTTGGGCTTTCTGAAATGACATAAATCTTCAACTCTTCAATATGGGTAGCCACTAGTCACATAGGACTTTTGAGCCCTTAATATATGGCTAGTGTGACTAGAAGTAGAAATAGAACTTGTTGATGGTTCTCAAAGTGTGGTTTCCCTACTAGCAGTCTTAGCATCACCTGTGACCTTATTAGAAATGCAAATTCCTGGGACCCATCAGAGACCTGCTGAATCAGAAACTCTGAGGCTGGGACTGTGTTTTAACAAGCCCTCCAGAGGATTCTGATGCAGGCTTAAGTTTGAAAGCTACAAGTGAAGCAGTCGATTTTTTTTTTAAGAGATGGGGCCCCCATCATTGAGGCTGGAGTACAGTGGTGTTATCATAGTAGCTTACTGTAACTTGAAATCCTGGGCTCAAACAATTCTTCTTGGCCTCCAAAAGCACTGAGATTACATCCATGAGGAACTGCCCAATAAGAATAGAATGTAAAGACTGTCTGATTGTGCGTCCCGAGTCTTTCTCTTACTCTGTGTGGACCTGAGCAAATTATTTAATTGATCTACATCATAATAAGGTAATAGAACTTACCTCTTAGAGTTGTTTTAACAATTGTTAGATGTATTATTTAAAGAGTTCATTGTAGCTTCTTACGTAGTATACATTCAGTGATAGGTTTTCTCAAAACTCCATTATTTTAACCTTAAATATAGCTGTGGAGGACAAGTTCTTAATGTGGTATATGCGTATATCACACATATCAAAGTAGTCATCAGCCAAAAGTTGATAATCCCAGAGAGATACTGCCTTATATTTATATATATTCATACACTCTGTCCCAGCATTTGATATGCTGATAAAAATGTCTGGCATCCTTAATACCCCGTCAGGTTTTTTAAGTACAAAGTGCCTAGGCTGCTCAGTAATGTACTCTGTAGCATATAGAATAAGTAAAGTCGTTGATGAGAGAAGTAGAAATTTCAGGCAGATTCTTATATAATTTTTTTGTCCATTCTTTTAAAACTCCCATATTCTAGCCTAAAAGATTGCCCCCCCCCCAAAAAAAAATGACTTTTTAATTAAAAACCTGTGGTAGAGAAATGTTAAAGTGTTTTGATTTTGGAAGTATTTTGCTTTTCCTTACATATATGTTTTTAATATGTATTTCGATCTTTTCTACAGAAAATGGATATTCCAGCTAAATTGATTGTTTGTGGAATGACATCAAATGGTTTTACCATTGCAGACCCAGATGATAGAGGCATGTTGGATATGTGTGGCTTTGATACGGGAGCTCTGGATGTAATTCGAAATTTCACGTTAGATGTGATTTAACCATAAGGAGCAGCACAAACCAGAGATCCATTGCCATCAGTGATCTCACTAAAAATATACAGCTACTTCCCGGCAAATCCCCATCAGATGAGTGATGATGGTATAGTATGTGCTTAATGGAAAGTTACCTTTCCAAAAAAAAAGAACGAAAAATAAGGTGGGCCAAAGGTCTATCTACTAAACTAGCTCTTGGGGAAATAGCTTCAGGATACTGTAGTTTCCTCTATCTAATAGAGAACTTTTTATTAATAGAAAATGTAAAATAGTTTTCCTTTGTTAAATAATACATGTGTACTTAAAAGAGGTAAGAGCAAAAAGTGTAATTCCACATCATGTCACTTGTTTCAAAGTGCTTAATGTTTTCTTACATGTTTTCATTGGGAAAGGACAGCTTTGATAATGTCCAAATACTCTGAAATGCACTAGACCATGTAACTGTGATGGAATGTGAAACTCATCTGTAACTTTTATACAAAGGGGGTAAAAAAAAAACTAAGACATTTGGTTAAATTATGAATGAGTTTTACAAATTCCTTTCAGAGTTTTCTGAGGTAACAGAAATAACAGCTTTCTTATTCAATGAAAAAGATATTTTATTTCTGATATTTTATTTACACTTGTAGAATATGTTACCATTAATCAGAAACATCATGGCAGCCCCTAAAAATAGACTAAAGTTTGTGTTAGCTGAATTCCCCTAAGAATAGACTAAAGTTTGTGTTAGCTGAGGAATTCTATTTGGTTTGCGCTTTTTTTTTTTTTTTTTTTTTTTTTGGCTTTGTTATATTTTATTGCTGCAAGGGGTGTGACTTGATAATGCTTTTCCTCTGAATTATAATAACATAGCCAGATGTAGTCTCACACTTTTTTTTATAAACTTAAGTGAAAATAATATAAAATGTTTCAAGCGCTTAACTCCCTCATTCACAAAGTATAGCAGTTAAAATCTCAACTATAACCAGATTAGCTTTTTCCTTATTTTTAAAATAAAAATTGTTTAAATTAGTTTTAACTAGTTTTTTAGTCAATATTTTTAAATTGTATACTTGGCCTCTCTGCCCATTATTCATTTTGTGGCAAAATATTCTTTGATAATGTAAACAAATAATAAAGCAATCTAGGTCCATTAGGTTTGAAAGACAATTTTTGAGTAGCATATTACCAGCTAACCAGTCTCTAGGAATTTTGTTTTAAATATTATTTGTATGTATTAAACTTTTCATTACACTAGAGTGCATTATTTTCTTGAGAAAGTATCCTTCATTGTGAGGTTTAACATTAAAATAATCTGTTGAAATCCCATTATCTTTGCTCATAATTTTATTATGGTCGTCTAAGATAGTTTACACATGAAACTTGTCTGCATACTCGTTCGCTAAATACTAGTTGTAGATTTACTGAGGGTTTGTAAGATCCTTCAGGCTGTTTTGGGAAAGTTAAACTGTAGTTAGTGTAAATTATAGCCTTTTAGGTGCTTGGGGGTAGAGGTTTTATGTTTTTTGGGACGGGGAATTTAGTAGTATGAGGATTTCTGTACATATTTTCTTCCATTTTATGTGAAATTTGGGCTCTGAGAATAAGAAAATGTTCCTTTCAAATTTATTTGATATATTAATGCTGGTTCTGATACGTACCCATTCCTTCAAGACGACTGGTAGCAGTTGTTAAAAGTGATTTACCTGAGATATTTTTGGTCAGCAAAGCTCATAGCACCCCCATTCCCACTCAGATATGCATTGCTTCTGATATCGTTCATGTTTTTAACCCTCTGTCAAGCATTGAACTGAACATATTAGCTACTTTTGATACATTAAAATATTATGTTCAGATTGAATTTAAAGTTTAAAGAAGCTAACAGGATTATATAATAGTTCTTGAATTCTTTTAAACTCAAGATCTTAAAAATTATAACATGATCATTTTATTTCTAATAGAAATGTTATAGTACAAAAATATATTACCTTCAGTTAAATATAGCACAAAAATGTATTACCTATTTCCATAATGCTTTTAGACAAATATGAGTTAATGTTAAATCCATCAAGGATACAAGACTAGATGGATATGACCTTTTTGAAATATTTAGGTAGGTCTAATTAAATGGACTATGGTAACATTTAAGAAAGAAAAAGTAGGAGAAGCTACCACAGAAGGTAACTTTTCAAATCATGCACATTAGAGCTGAAAGAAACATTAAAACCTAAAAGCTAATTTTTAAATTTTTGTTAGAGAGCTGAGGTCCAACACAGAGAGTGATTCTAGAAATCTTGGTCTCTTCATTTCTATGCCAGAATTTATTTCCCCACAACATGGGAACACATAGTCTCAGAAGAGTAAAGGATAAAATAGAATTTTTTAAGACTTTCACCTTATTTGGTTATTAGGAAATAGTGTATATATATGATTGCTTTAGGAGTAGACAAATAGAATGGGAACATGTATAATTTTGTAATTCATAGTAATCCTCAAGCCCAATTAACCTGTGTTGCTATATATATCTACATAGAGAAAAAAATAAAAACTTTACCTCATTATGAATAGAATGTACTGATGTGATAAACAAGTTTTTTATTTCCTGAATTCTACTTTTAGGATTACTGTTAAATTAATATTTGGGAAAATACTGCTTTAAAAAAAAAAACCCTACAAGAATAAACAAACTTAATTTCCTAGGTAATATGTAAATAGTTCCAGGATATAGTTGTAATTAGCAAAACAAACTAATCTTATAGTCCCACCCTTTATTAGTTGAAAGTTCTTGGAAATTCCATTTATTAATACTTATATTATTTAGTACCTATTTTATGAGAGTGTTAGTAAGGTGAGATGCCAGTGAATGGAATTTAGCATTACCCTTTGGAAACTCCTTTGCTTTTATCTAACTTACTGTGTGACTGTAGACAACCAATTTAACCTAAGTGATTCCATTTTTTTATCTTTAAAAAGTAACATATCTGTGCTTAGATCATAGAATAATCAGTGATTTAATATTTATATAAAAATCGAAACTGGGAAGAGGGCTCGCAATACAAGTTAGAATTCTTTTTTCTTTTTTTTAGTTTAAAACATTCCTGTTAATATGTGTTTTGAAAGATATGTTTTAGAAAAATAGCTCAATAGGCCCAATAATTTTTTAAAACATTCCTGTTCAGGGTGGAAAAATTTAGAAGGAAAATTTTCACAGCTGAAGTATTACCCAAGAAGTCATTATTCTCTATTGAAGAAAGAGAAAAAATATATTTCAAGTCTAAGATCTTCTTGGATAGATCTAGAAAAACAAATTCATACTCTAAGTGAGAAAATGCCGTTTAGAAACTTTTTTTTATTTGAGACAGGCTCACTCTGTCACCCAGGCTGGAGTGGCATGATCACAGCTCACTGTAGCCTTGACCTCCCGTGTGCACTATCATGCTGGCTTTTTTTTTTTTTTTTTTTTTGTAGAGACAATGTCTCACTACATTGCCCAGGCTGGTGTCAAACTCCTGGGCTCAGGGGATCCTCCTGCCTCGGCCTCCTAAAGTGCTGGGATTACAGGCACGAGCCACTGCACCCAGCCAACAAACATTCCCTTAATCTTTTAAAGTAACCAGTAAACCTACAAATAGTAAAATACCATTTTCATCAGGGATTTTTTTTTTTCTTATTTTCTAGGTTTTATAGAAACAATGTGAAATTATTTTGGAAAGATAAGGTAGAATTCTTGAGTAAATCTGAAGGTCTTAAAATTAAATGAGAAACACCTTTAAAAGTACAGTAAAGCTATACCTGAACAATAACTAAAGGCCAAATCATTGTAATGTTTTGTTGGACCTCTTTCATTTTGACCTATTATAGCCACAAATAAGAAATTTATTGGTAACTGATGCTACTAGGTATGTATGATGTTAGTAGGTAATCAAAAATGAAAAATTCTAGCCTTACATACCACAGGTTTGAAGTGACTGTTAAGGCAATATCCCCTCTGGAGAAATGTCATATGACACCAGTGTAAGCATGCACAAGAAAGAATTTGAAAAAAAAAAAAAAAAATTACAGGTTAATCTATGAAATTAATTGTATTTACTGTATGGATTTTATTTAGTGTTTCCTTGATGTCTTTTTGCTCATCTCTTATTTGTTGGAAGATTACTTTTCTACCTTTTTTATCTTTTAAAATCCCTTTCTTACATTTCTGTCCTCTTTTTCTGTAGTCCTTCTCTATCTGGATAATAAAATGGATGACGGCAAAGTCACCTGCATATAGGTTTGGGATGAACCTTTTGCAGATTGCTTTTTGGTTCATACAAGTATAGGATCATTTTTTTTTTTTCAACTTAGTAATAGGCAGGCTTCTTGGAATATTAAATAGATTGATTCAGTCTCTTCCCCAAATCAAATTATATTATATATCTTTTATATTAGATGTTTGCAGAAATTCTGTTGGCCTTTAAGATCAGTTATTCAGCCTTTGTTTGTAATTATAAATGTTACCTAGCTATGTTGAAAATGTAAGTGCTTACTATATAAGCACTCTTAGAAAAATGATTAACTGATTATTTCTTCACAAAATAGGTTTCTCAATGCTTGTATTTCATAATTATAAAGACGACTGTCAAAATATTTCACTGAGCACATACAGAGATACATGGCTTGTGGCATAAAAAGTCTTATAAATAACTTATATTTACACGGGGCTTTTTTTAACTGGTACTTTTTTTTGCTTTTTTGAAAATTATGAAGTTAAAATTTAATTCGAAGGTAATATTTTTCATGTCCAAAACTAATCGTGTAGTTAAGCATACTGTTTGAATAAAATTTTAATAAATGGCACATTTTCTTAAACCCTGAAAATACCAAGTTATATTGGAAAGTAGTAGAAAGAAAGAAACTAGTGAAAACATCTTACAAAATTATATTGTGGAAATTAAGATGATTTTCAGTGAGAATGAATTTATATATACAACAAAAATATACAAAAGCTAACTTTCTCATCCTAAAAAGATTTTTCTCTTTGCTTCTATTTTATTTAGCCATAGCGTGTACCATATTAATTTTATGAACACAAATGATATTTAACTTTTCATTTTAAAATGTTTAAATTTATGCACTTTTAGACATTAGAATCTATG